TTTTACGCTGCTAAAAGAGAGCGCCTTAGAACTCTGAAGCACTCCAAAGTTAGTTCCAAATCAGAACCAATGGCACCTCAAGTTGCACCATATACATCCAAGGCGGCTACCGACACCATCTTGTTAGCGAAAAAGCGCGCGAACAAAGAAGCAGTAAAACAGCCCATACGCAGGCAGCGTACTAAACTGCTTTCTTTAATCTTGGACGAAACGAAATAAGAAACGCAGAACTCTCTGGTTGCTTTTCCGATATGAGTTTTAAAGGAACTTGTGAAATAAGCGTCAGGCTCAAGAATGGGATCCCACTAATTTTGAACGTCGTCAAAAATGAGCAGCGTTGTTTTCGAGGAGCAAAAGATACATCAAAACGGACTAGAATAAGAAGCATGCTACACCAGAGGTTAAAACAAATGATGTGATCTTGATGATACTGTGATTCCCGTTCTCTGTGATAATCTTGCAAGCTCTTTATAATAGGAACACGATCTTGATCTAACATGTTATCCTGAGACTTATTTTTTTATAGTATTAGTGTTTTAACGTATAGTACTATTTTGAGTAGGATTACTGAGGATATAGATCAGAAGATCTATCACAGGCCTACAGAGTAAACTACCAACACTCCGTTATAAGCTTGTGCAGTTTCAGCCACCTAAAGTTTCATTATTAGCTAAAATTGCCAAGAAATAGACAAAATGAAGCATTTTTATTCCATTCGGTATGATGTTTTAAGTAACAATTACGGAAGAGAATTGTCAAGTGAACAGCCTAAATTGAGGCTGCCCTAACGCGGAATTACGGGTGAGCTAAAGCATAATTCCAGCTCAAATAAAGTGCAATATTGATCCCGACATCACATTTTAACATAAGTGACGATCTCTAATTCGCAAAAGATAGTAATATTTATTAAAATTACACTTAATATGCGATACAAATGAATCACAAGTCAAACACTTAGTTTTTGATTAGATGCACTCTTACACTCCCATACGATTCTGGCAGGAAAGCGCAGTAGTTTATTCGATACTTAAATCGGTTAAGACACCATTTGTTTTCTACATAGCGGCAACATCCACTTCGTTTCATTCTCAAAAACTTACTGTTGCCATCTCATGTTTGGAATCCACTCAATCTGAATACTCGATCAAAGAACAACATTATCAACGCATGCGCCAGACAAACAAGAAATCAATACTGGCAATTCAATTCTAAGGAATTGTGCATACGTATTCTGCATACTCCCCATCAGCAAGATCTTCATACAGTTCTTTTGTCATTCAAGGTGCTTTACTTCATAGCTCCTTTTTTTGCAGCCTAGCTCTTCTGGATTTTGAAGATCGATTTTAGAATCATGATCTGAAGCGATTCCTTTTTTTATCTGTTGAGAGCAAATCAGTAAGGACTACCGTAGCCACACATGGATGATTCATTTCTCATTTTATCTTCGACAAGCAACGTCTGATAATGTACCGACTCGCTGCTCTTCTTGCTTCCATGTCCCTGTCTGCAGGCGCGAACAGTTTTCTAACGAAAGCATCAATTTCGGTTAACGGCACGCAGGATCTCGCTCGTCACAAAGTTGTTGAAGCAGGGGGTTATGAATGACGACATAATTTCGCTTACGGCCGAACGACTTCAGTATGGTCTTTTTCGGAGGTGGTGGGGTAAGAAAACTACTCCTAGTGAAGTGGAAAAGTTGCTCATGGGTGAAGATGAAGTGCTTGACGATGTGCATATCGAGGCGTTCGTGCGATACTTTGTGCTATACAGTAAGGCTGCATTTGCTAGTTTGATAAAAGAACCCTCAAGCGCGTTGCTGTTGAATGATCGTGAGATTGCTATATTTCACAAGTTTTTGCACTACCCTGGGCTCAAGTCCCATTTGAACCTTGACGATATTTTCGAAAAGTATTGTCAAGGTGCAGCTTTTGACTCTAAAGTCCACCATTTTTACGAAGACATCATCGAATCTGTGAAACATCAGTGGATTGACGGTGTGCATCCAGCTAATGTTCAGCAATTTCTCGCAGAATTAACTGCAAACAAGATTGATTTTTTCATATGTGAAGTGCTGGGACGGTATACTCTGCTGTACAAAAAGATAGTCTCCGCTGTTATGAAAAATGAAGAAATTCCTGTCGAGCCAAAACCATTTGTACCTAAACGACCACGAATCAGGACTGGGTTGACATTAGGCGAGCAAGAACAATTGGTACCTAAACATCCACGAATCAGTACTGAGTTGACATTAGGCAATGCACGCTCCAAGAGAAGGCGCCTGATTGAAGATAAACCAGCGGATTTCTCACCTTAAAGCATATCGTCTTCGGCCAATCTGAGAACTTCAATTGAATTGAGCGAAGAAGGCAATCAAGGTACTTCTGCTCTTCGCAATTCACCAGAAGATACGCATCAACATCTTAAGAACAAGGACGTAAGAAACGCTTATAACATCAGGCAACGTAGTGACTTCAATTAAGAAATAATTGGCAAGAAAACACATAAACTCCATTTGTTTTAAGTGCTTTTGAACAGCGTACTATGTTTTTGTGGCAAAGGTACTATAAAACTATTTTATTATCGTAATACTACAAAGAGTAATTGGTCTTACGATTAGCAATTACATTTGCGAGCGAGGCTTGACAACACTCAGTGTGTATGAACTCGCAAAAGAAAACGTGCCGAATTGAACGTCACGTTTGTATGAATTGAGAAATCGATTGAAGATGTCTCGTTGATCAAATATTGATTCAAATTTGCCATGGTGAATGCATGTTGTTCAATTGATCTGATTTTTTGTCGTTTAAACCTGCAGCCATATTTTGTCTACTTGTTTTCCATGTATCCTTGACGTGCTACGCTCTGATATGGCATTTGAGGTCAAACATGTATCATAATGAATGAAAAAATTAAGGTGCTGGCCCACGTCAAGACACTGGACGGATCCGCTTGCGGTGCTGTCTGTACCTACGAATTCCTCGAGACTCTACATTGGCGTGTTGAATAAATTATTGGACTTAAGCTTTTATCTTAAGTGATACATATGGTAGCCTTATCTATCAGAAGATACTATGACTGCGTAAAGTTGAGCGCAAAGATTAGGAGAATAACTAAATAGACTCATTCATTCATGAAAGTAGCTGGTGTAGACAGCCGCCACACACATCACGCACATATATTGCCACGCCATGTTGGCCATTGGGTACATCAAGGTCGTTGCTTCCTCCGCATACAGATCACTGAGCTACTGGTTCATTGCGAGCGCCAATCGAGCTGGAGAAGTTGGTAGTCGAAGTGCGAAGATTGCATCTTGAGGCTTGCCTCGAAAGCTGACACCGAAGCCTTCCCATTCTCTGATCAGGTGGTCCCACAATCTCTTGGCATGGGGGCATGTCCAGGAGACGTGAATCAGGTGAGATCTGTCCGATCCTGAACATGTCTCATGTGGACACGACAGGTTATTTGCTGTTCGGTTCCACGAGTCACCTAGAGTCCGGCCTTGAGTCTCAACATGATCTCCTGGGCTGACGAGGTTATCCCATGAACAGCGAGAATTGTTGTCCACTTCAGGTTGTCTAGGTCGGCTTCAAGCTTGGTCGCCTCGTTCGTAGATCCTGCTGAGCTGTCCATTCGTCCATCTCTCTTCTTGATGCCGTCCTTCAGTCGCTGTTGTTGGCAATGGTGCTTGAGTGTCTTGCGCTTTAATTTCTAACCCGTTCGTCCGCATCTCAAACTGACTATTCGAGACAGTCGCGGGTGTGGATGGAAGGAGACAAGGATGCCATCAAGATCTCGCTTCGCTACTTCGTCGGCGTCCTGTGGTCTCTCGAAGAAGTGAATGCTGATTGTGATGGCCGTATCCTGATGGCGTATCGTGCTGTCGTTGTCCAGG